ATGCCAAGTGAATTACTGTGTGCTTACTGTACTCATCCTCAGCTCTTCTCTGCCCTATTGCAGATCTGTTATGTGATCGCATTTGCTGCCGTGGGAAATAGTTCTCATTTAACATATGTTGTGCTGTGCTAACCTATTTCTGTCTATACAATACATGTCTGTAGGATATCTATCCCTATTTAAAAGAATATGTATTTTAAGAGCAGTCATGTGGAAATCAAGCATGGAGTTTATTCTTTTCGGTTATAGCATAAAAGTACCACCTAATCTAACCTCACAGAATGCTGCTTGCTCGTTGGCCTGGGGAGAACAACTAGACAAATGGATAAAATACCTTTTCTTTCAGTGTATATCCCGCAGATATGTCTTAGCAGAGGAATTTTTACAATGGCGTTGCCAGGTTTGTCTAAGATCATGTTCAGGGCAAGGAGCCTGAACGGTTTTGCAAAAGGCAACTTGTTCAATTAGAATGAGTTTTATACTTTATTTTTTTAAGTGCAGCCTAAGGTTAAGCTTAGCGTTGGAGAATGAAATGACTTTTGAAGATGGGAGTGTTGGCTGTCTGCTGGGAAAGGCAGTGTAAAAGCAGGACCTGGGCTTGAGTTGTGTTTTGATGGAGAGCCAATTTCAGGTGCTGGTGAAATAGGATTTGAAAATGTGGCTCATGCAGTTGATTGCAACGTCCATACAATTTAAGCTGAAATCAAGTCTGGAATCATGAAAGTATTTCAGAGGGAGCTGGAAACATGAGCTGTGGGTAGGAGTTGGGGCTGTCATGTAGTCCAAATGGAGGGAGCCCATCAGGGAGCTCTATTAGAAATGCACAGGGCTTTGTTTTGAGTCTAGATTAACTTTGGCTGGCAGTTCGCACGCGAGGTATTGTGGTGAAGGTGAATTCCATTTTTCTCCTGTCCCTTTCCTTAAGGCAGATCTCAACAAAAAGTTAATTCTTCGTGTTAGCTGTGCTCTCTGGAAGAGCTAACGGCCTGTGGTTCAGATGCAACTTTCCCATCAGTGCCCAACAGATGTGTTTTGAAGTGCTTGTGAAATACGTAGGAGTGCTGCTGTTTTGAACCCCTGCAAACAGTCAACAGATTCACATGGGAAATTAAATGAGTGTAATTTTGTGGAGAGATACTGAATGCGGCTGCTAAATGAGTACCATGAAAATAAAACAAAACCAACAAGGGGTGTTTGCTGGAGCAGCTGGGAAGGGGCATAAATGACAACTGAAACATGTGATGACTTGTAAATTGGCTCCTCTGATTGTGAAAAGCTTGTCTTCATTTTACAGAAGCCTCGGTGTTTAATAGGAGCCTGCAGGGATGTCTTTGGGGATGTGGAGTTATGGGGAGAAAACCCCGCAGAGAGACTATGTAAAGGACTGAGGAAGGAATAGCATGGGCCAGGGAGATGTGAAGGGAATGTCAGTGAGGAGGAGCAGAGGTGGGGGAGTGAGTGCTGGAGCATGCTGAGGAGAGGGACTGGGACTGTGTGTGTAATTGAATGTGGTATTCAGAGATGCAGCTGTTGGTGCATGGCTATGTCTCTAGGTCATGGCATCTGTTAGGGCCCCATCCAGCATATGTTTATATCCAACCATGTCCTTCACTGCTTCATGCAGTGGGAACCGTTTGGCTTCCGTCCACAGCGAGAACTTGTTGGCATTGTTCTGGAATCTTGGGAAGCACAGGCAGTTTCTGTGGCACTGACCTCTGCCTCTGCTTGGTCCTCAGCCTTGCATTCATCTGCAATGCCCAATTCACAGTGTCAGGGGTTGGAAGGGGTGCCTGGAGGTCATCGAGTCCAACCCCCCTACTAAAGCAGGTTCCTTACAGCAAGCAAATGCTCTGAATTTGGGGAGGGGGAGCTTTCAAGCTGTAGGAAAACAGTTTTTTACAAAAATGAAAAACTTGGCAAATGCATTTTCATCTTCAGCGTGTGTTTAAAACTTAAGAAAAGCTGCGTCTGAACCACCACCTAACCAGTACTGGAGTGGCAGCTCACCTGCTGTAACCAATACATCAGTTGGTATGATCTTCTTAATTGTAGAATCATTGGGTTGGAAGGGACCTTAAAGATCATCTAGTTCCAACCCCCTTGCTATATGCAGGGACACCTCCCTCTAGACCAGGTAATATTTGTCATTAATTAATATTTGTCACATCTTTAAAAAAGATAATAATGAAAGTTGAGAGCTTCTGAAGAAAGATGTGAAATGGCATAAATTATGGTGTACTGACATGAAAAAAGCACTTTGGAGGGCAATTTGGATTTTGGTTTTGACTTCTCCTGGTCCTTCCATCCTTGGAAGAAAGTCAGTGTTAGGCGTAGGGCTCCTAAGGTTGATTATGTTTCTGATGCTGCAGTCTTCATCTTTTCTTCCCCTGGGTGACTGTGAACACAACCACACATCTCCTCGGCTTTCACGACAGCTCCTCCCTGCTTCTCTCTGAATGCAGAAGACAGACACAAGCCTGTGTGATACGGGCTCCTTTTCATTCACACCACATGCAGTTGTGTTCCCTTCCTTGCTAGGATATCCGCTCGACCGCCTGGTTTGTGTTTGCTTCCCTCCTGCCAACAGAGAGCGCTTCAGAAGGGCAGCGTTGCTGGCAGGGTGTTGCAGCCCCGCACCTTCTGTAAGCAAAACCCATTCAGCAAGGTGCTGGTGGCACTTCCTGCTAACCTTGCATGGCCTCTTTTAGCCAAGCAACGTGGCACCTACAGCTCGGGGCTGCAGGCTGTGCTGGCTGACATCTGCTGGTTGCATGGGCTGTGTTGTAACAAGGAGCGCTTTAATCATGTAATGAAAGCCACGTTCCTGTAATTGTGTAATATATGGACAGAGCTTTGTAACATCACTTGTCTGAATGCAAGACAAATTGGATGCAGAAGCTTAGCCTCTTTGGGAACAGCTTATTTGAGGTTTATTATTTTTTATTTATGGTATAATTTCAGCTGACCCTCCTCCTCGCTTTATACCAGTGTGTTTTACCTTGACATTGCCTTGGGTATTAACCCCTCAAAGTTGTGCCCAGTTACACTCTGCCTTTTCCCAGCTGACTGCTCAGCTAATGGGCTGGATCAGAAATGCTCACGAGTGGGTCTGTAACACACGTTGTCACCGACTGCAGTAACAAATGGCTCAAAATCCTCATTCTCCAGAGCATGAAGCAGCCACTGGTTCATAGGGATTGAAAAACGGTGTTAGTGCAGGCCTTCTTGTAACTCTTCCAGAAATAAATGCTGGTGATCGGAAAGAATAAAACAGAGCAGTGCAGCTGGGCAGGGGACCTGCAGGGACGGCTCCTGGTGCCAAAGACACTCCTGCTCCCTGAAAAGCAGAGGCTCAGCTCTGCTGCTTTGCCTTCACCTGTCTGCCAGATCAGCAGCTCTCAGATGTGCTTTGCTCCAGGAGAAAAACAGCCTGTCCTGCCATGGCAAGGCCCAGCTGACCACAGAAATCCTCATCCAAACCAAACAGCCGCTTTCCTTCCTAGCATTGTCATGGAGCAAAATCGGATAGAAATCTTTATATAGCAGCTGATGCTTAGGCTCCAGTGTTTTGATGTTGAATTGCTTTGAAGCTCTCTTTTAGGATGAAGGGTTTGGTTTCAAACCAATCCTTTCTTTACCTTCTCTGAGATGTCTTTCCTTGCTTCAAGCTTAATCCAAGCAGGATGAAATGAGGCAGGTCTGCCATGAGCTTTTAGTTTTCATGCTGTGATGAGCTCCAACTGAACAAAGATTCATGTTTGAGGGGAAAAGTGGGGGATGCTTGATTGCAGCAAGAATAGATTTCCTCTGTTTGCATTCCTGGCTATTTTTCTGTCCCCTGATGGCTGCAGGTATTGTTTCTGGCTTAACTGGGAATTTTCCCACTCAATAGTGAAGCACAGTGAAAGCTGTACAACTTTTTCCTCTTGCTTAATCACCATCAGGCTTTTTCCAAGGTATTTTGGCTGCCTTCTCCTTGCATCATCGTCTCATCAGAAGTGTAAGAAAACAGTGTTGTGAACCATAGTGAGGTGTCTGCTTGAGTTTCCTACTGTGTGGCTGAAGCCCTTGTGTCACATGGGCCCCACCATTGAATTCAGTTACTTGTAGCTTTGAGCAGTTCTTAACTTCACACCAAAGACGTCAGAAAGGCAAAGCTTCAACTTCTGCATCGTTTGCTTGTTCTGGTAGTGGTACCGAGGCAGCCTTTCCTTGGAGTTCTTCAAAACTAAGCAAATGGTGAAGAATCTATTTCACATACACTATTCTGGGACGCTGAGGGATACTTTGCAAAGGATTGTGAGGCCAGAGTGTGAGTCTCGTAATAGGCAATAGGTTTTGCAGGTTCCAATTCTCTACCCGCTGTGCTGTGGTGCTCAGCTTCCTGTGATCCTGGTGTGCTGGGGGCTGCGAGTCGTTTTGATCATGCTTGTCCAAATGTGCCTCTGGTCAACCTGCTGAAGCTGGTAAATCTCTGCTGGATTGAAACTGCCTGAAGTGAGGAAAGATCTGTGGAGAAACCTTACAGAAAGTCTGTGACCCCCGTGGGTCTGAACTCTTTGATAGCATCTTAAACTAGGCTTCAGCAGCCATGCAGCTGGGAGGATGCTGGCTAAAGGACCTTGGGAAACTTGTTTCATCATCTTGGTTTCTGGAGGTATTGAAGTGAAAGCTCGTTTGAAGAAACAGGAATGATGGGCAAGTGCTCAAAATGAATGTCGTGTGTTAGAGATCGTTGGAGAAAATGCCAAAAAGCCTTCTCTGAGGGTGGCCCAAAGAAGAGGGAAGGCTCAGCTGACCTCCTTTTGGGGCAGGCTGTATGCTGGAAGCAGGAGGTGGGTCTGGAACACCTTTATAATGTAGCTGGATGGATACGTGCTTGTCTGTCTGTCCACATACACCTGTCAGAGCACACAGATGCACACGCAGACTTGTAGCTGCAAAACTGCTTCTTTATAGCTGTTTTCTTTTTTTTTTCTTTCTTATTTTTTTTTTTCCAGGGAACAAATAGTGTTACAGGAGAGAAGGAACGTGCTGAGGAACGTAGATGTGCTAAGAGTCAGAATGTGTAGGAGAAGCAAGTGGGCTGAATAGGAAATTTCACCCTTCAGGAGAGCGCTGGACAGATGGGAAGCAGGCTTGCCATTGGGAACGCTTCCAGGGCCGATCCTTTTGAAGTCAGCTGGCTCAGGAGCTATTGACCACAGTGTCCATCTATACAGCATGTTCCTCGAGGGCTGCAGGACCACCCTGCAAGCCAGATGCATTTACCTCTGCAGTCTCCCTAGCTCAATGAGAGCAGCATCTGCTGGGAGTCACGAGCACAGCTGTGTCTGACACGGTATGGTCAGATAAGGTATGGTGTTGGGGCTCTGCTCACTTTCCTGTGCCCAGCTGGGAGCTGTAGCAGGCATATTTTGTAGCTGACAGACTCAAGAGGGCAAAAAGCGTTTTGGGGTGTATTAGCAGGAGACCTCTTTCCACCAGCTGGCTGTCTTTAGCATTGGTGTGGCCTCTCCTTGGACACTGCGTGCAGTTCTGGGCTTTGCAGTATGAAAAGGGTGTTAGAATTCTTGGAAGCATCCAGAGGAGGGCAGTCCTTCCTGGAGCAGAGCACTTTGCTTTTCTTGTGTGCCATAAGGGACGTGAGCTTGTGCATGTCTAGGGCAAGCCACACAAACAGGACAGTGCCTTTGTAAGTGAGTGGATGGGGGTGTGGTTTGACATGAAAACAAATCAGATTTAACATGTTGGTCATGGCGCCAGAACATGGGGAAAACCTGCTTTGTTTTGGTACAATCTCTTGTGGTTTTCTGTCCTTTTTTTTCTTAAAAAAAAAAAAAAAAAAAAAAAAGAAAAAGCAAAACTAAAGAAACAGTAAATATTCCTGTGGAAACACTTAAACCAGTGTTTAAACCACAGAGTTTAAAAACACATTAAAAAGAAAAAAGTTCTCCTGAAATTTTAGCGTAGCTCAACTGTGGGGCACCTGTTCCTCATCTAGAATTGAGCTGCTCAAAATTGAACTTCAGGTTTTTCCCTTGATGAAAGCATTAGATGCATTTGACCTGAACTTGTGAAGGGTGTAAATCAACCAGAAACACCACACTGTTCGTATGCAGGATTTCATCCCTAGCTAATGTGTGATTGCTTGCTTGGTTGCTGTAGCAGCTTGTCCTGTGATGTAGCAAAAGGTCTGAATCTGGACCACGAGTCAGTTTTCTTTTTTTTCTTTTTTTTTCTTTTCTTTTTAAGGTAAATACCTGATTTTTTTTTCCCCAGGGAGATCTCCTATTCTGTATCATTCTCCCAGTCCTTCAGGATGCTGTCTAGAAGGATTCATGCTGTTCCTGGCCAGCCCTTCGATGGTGCTCCCAGCTTACCCAGAGACACTGGTGAAAAAGTGGCACAGCCTCTATGCAAAGCACGGCTTTTGAGGAACTGCAAATAATCCCAGATAGTATTGGAGATCTGTATCTTATCCTTCAGCCCCCGAGGGGGTGGTAAATCTCAGCCTAAATTTACTCTTTTGCTCCTGAAAGAATTTGTAATCATTGCTGTCTTGGAAAGGCGAAAGGGGGACAGGGGGATTCCATTTGCAAACACTTGTGGAGATGGAAACAACATGGATTTATATTCTAATGGGGGAAATTTGGCTGTGGGATGTCTGAATGAATACAATCTGATGAGTTTCATTAAGGCTGCACCTCATTCTTTTAATTAACTTCTTGTTCTTGTCCTTGGTGAAGTAGTAATTATTTTTTAATTAGCCCAACACTGCATTGCCGAGCTAGCCAACCCTAGCCTCATCTCACTGAGAGGTGTCATAAGAATTAAGTTAATTAGCTTGTCACCATCCCTGTAAAATATGGCCGTGTTCAGCAAAAAGAGGGGGGGGAAAAAAGCCCCCTTTGCTGTTCCAAGGTTAATTAAAAAACACGGTGCACAAGGGTGTCAGATTGTCTGGAGGGAGTCAGGTCCTGGTCTCTGGTTGGCACTGCAGTTTGCATTGGCTGTGGACCCAGGAGCAGAAAGCCCCATCCTGTGGCATTGCTTGCTGCTCTGAGCAGTCCCCGTGTGCCAGCCCCACGGCTGGGAGCAGCATTTGGAAGTGGGAGGGAGGCTGAGCCTGTCCTACAACTCTTTTCTGGGTCAGTTCTGCACTTCTCACCGCTGTACAAATGTTCTCTGACATTCACATCTCGCAGAGTTTGAGCTTTGGATCAGCTGGGAAGAAAACCACTTGAGAACTTGTAGCTGCTACAACCCATTTGGTTGTTTTGATTAAACCGAGGGAAAAAGAATAAAATCTGCGAATAGGAACTTCAGGGGTGGAACGCTTTGGTTCAGAAAGCTATTTCCTCTGTCAGAATCCATCCCAGTGAGAGATTTGCCAGCAGTGAGCCCTGGGCACTGTGCACTGCAGCTCAGCCCTGCGTATCTATGGGTTGCAGTCCAGGAGCTGTGCTGGGGCACTGTGGCAGTTCCTAATCCTTGCAGACAGATCCAGAGACACCAGGCTTTCTCTCCAAGCCTCCTCACGTGTTTATTTGACAGTTCAGCATTAATTTTTTTAAAAGAAGGCAATTTCTGGCTCTCGTGATTGAAGAGATGAACTTGAATATATGAGCCCTGTGGGATTTAGAGCTGTCTCCTAAATCTCCCCAGATGATGATGATGGCTCCGCTCTCTTTGCTTGCAGGGATTCTTTTTATTTTTTATTTTTTTTTCCTGGCTGTGTTGCCAGTTGGTGCCTCTCCTGGATGAATTCAGATTGTGCATTCATGTCTCCCTGGGCAGAATCTCAGGGCAGGAGGGACGGTCCTGACCCCTGTTCCTCATTAGCAGCGATGGGCCAGGAGTTAAATCTGTGTAGCTGGTTGTTGGAGGCGCTTCATTTATCTGTGTTGTGCTTTTACAGTGGGGAAGAGACTTGCACAGCTGAAGGAACAGGGGTGGATGGACTGCGTGGGCTGGCATTGGTTTGGGATTAGTGTGTCAGTGATATGGTTAATGTTACAGGAGCTGCTTGTGATTTAGGATCCTGGGGTCGTTAAGGTTGGAAAGTCCACTGTGATGGTCAAGTCCAACAGTCAACCCATCACCACCGTACCACTGAGCCACGTCTCCCAGTGCCACATCTGCCCTTTTCCTAATGACCTCCAGGGACACTGACCCCACCACCTCCCCTGGCAGCCTGTGCCAGTGCCCCTCTTTCTAAGAAGTAATTATTCCTGATAGCCAACCTGATACTTTCACATCAGTATAAACAATACCAGGTATTTGACCCAGTTTGAGTCTAAATCTGACGTGACAGTAGTTGCATGTGAAGAGAGGGAAGGAAAGGCAGGAAGCTGCTGAGGAGTCCATGGCTCTTAAGTGCTCAGCAGTGCTGGTCATAGGATTATGTGTTTGAGTGACTTTGAGTCAGTTTGGAAGAAGACCAATAATACCCAAAGCCTGATTCTTTGGTATATTGTGACCGTGGATTTATTACAGGGTTTAGAAGGAGCTTTCATGGAGAAAATTGTACCATAACTTTTGGCCATTCTTGAAGATTTCTCCAGATAAGAAAAAGCTGAAGATATTTCTGGAATATTTTATAAACTGGGGTTATTTTAATGAAACATTCTGGTGAATAGGAGCATAATTTCAGCTGATCCCCGGTTCTGACATCTCACTGACACCAGCTGTCTGTGGTCGGGAAGTGGAAAGCTTTGTCTCCCAAATACGAAATCATCCAGAGCTCTCTTTGCTCTGAAATCACTGCTTTCTGTAGGAAGCCAGCTTCCTTTTTGGTGAAGAATGCTATGGACTGAAAAAAACCCATAAAATCTATCAGTGAAATTTTGACAGAAAGCTTACGAGCAGCGCTACTCCGTAGCAGCTGGCCACCATCAAAGACAGGATACCGAGTAGACAGAATCTCCTCTGATCCAGCACAGTGATTTTTATATTCCAAAGTAAATAATAGTTTAAGAGTTAACTGTTTGGGGGTCCCTCAAGCTTTCAGCTGGGGGTCTGTGTTTCTAACTCAGCAGATAAGGCTGTCAGTGAAGAAGAAACTAAAGGGGGAAAAAGTAATTCCAACAACCCCAATGGCCTCCTTCAGTAAGGATATTAACTTTGGCTTTAATAAAAACGTAATGTTAACTAATCTGCTGTGAAGAGCTTCAGCTGCAAACTGTAACAATTTACCAGTGAAAAACTGGAAGGGGACTGAGAGTTGGAGGGAGCCTGCGATCATTAGCTGCAGATTAAGCATGAATTAAATTATTTCTGATTGTGTCGTCGTGAGGGTTGTGCCTTTCCAGCATTCCTCCGTTGAAGGGATGAAGAGGAAACTTTTGGCTGCATTTGATGCCTTGCTGTGATGGAGATGGTGTGAGAAGGTGGGATGTGGGCTAATCGTTGGGTGCACAGGGATGCTGCAGTGTGTGGTGAGAGGCCAAGGCTGCAAGTGATCTGCTGCTGCCCTGCTAATACTGCTTGTCAGTGTGACACTGCTGCTCTCAGATCCCATTGTGGCTGTATGTCTATGGGACATGTAAAGGTGGGAAAGGCCTTCAGCAGTAAGGTGGGATAATGCTGTGTCCCCTGGCTGGGAGCAGCAGCATCTGTTCCAGAATAAGATGGAAGTCAATGGAGTAACTGCGCTGGGTTCAGCTCTGCTCAAGGCTTCTGATTTGGTGTATGTTCCCATGTCTTTGCATGTCCAGTCTGAGTCATGTGGATACTTCAGGTGTCAAACAATGGCTGTGGGTTGCTCAAGGCTGCTCACATAGGAGCCACAGCCCCCTGAAAAAGACCCATTCTTCTAACATCTCATAAAGTGCATGCATTTTATTGGGTACAACTGGTTGTATTTATTAACTATGTGGATCCTGTTGCAGTGCAGATCAGCACTCCATCAGAAGCAACAAGAGAGACTAAATCAAAAGTCTGTGTCCCAGTTTTGAGGGCATCTAGGCTCTGTGAAAGGGCTTTGTCTGGAATTGTGTTGCAGTAATAGGAAATCTCATTCTGATTTTTTTTTTTTTTTCCCCTGCTTAAACCAGGGGAAATTTGGATTCAGCATCCATATCCCACTCAGATCTAAGGCTTTCCTTCTCCTTCCAGGGGTTTTATTCCTAATCGTGTAATCTTACCTGAAGATACAGAAAAACATCAGCAACCTGCAAATATCCAAAAGACCGTTCCAAATTGTGTGAACAATATGCAGGAATGAAATCCTAGCTGCATGGCATACGGCTCATCCCTAGGAACCTGTGTGCTCAAAGAGCTGGGGTAGCAACTATTCAGACAAAGTGGGGAACATGTTAAGGCGATGCCTGTCAGAGCTATTGAGCCTCCTTGCTTGTGAGAAACGTATAATCCCTTTTAATCTCATTCCTTGCATTCCATGTAGCTGTGAGGCGGGGTTTCAGTAAAAATGATTTTTGTGTTGGTGAGCAGAGTTGTAAAGGAGCTCTGGAGATGCTCGCTGTAGGGCACAGCAGCTTTGTTGCTGCCAGTGGCTGCTGTGTGAATGGGGAAGAGAAGAGAGCAAGGCTGCAGCCCACGGCCAAACTGCTGATGTGCCTTCAGTGGGCTGGAATGGTTGAATCCAGCCTTCCCTTGTTAAATAACTGGATTTGGAGCTATAGGTCTTTAAAGCAATTTTAAGTAATGAATGCTGTCTTTGCCATGGGGAGTAAGACCAAGGAGCCACTTATATGTGGCCTGGTGAAATGGGTGGTGTTTGCTTAACTACACCCTCCGATTTCTTAAAATCCTCTAGCAGGTTTACTAATGCTCCCTCTTGTTCCTGTAGTTTTTGGACTGGACAGTGTTCTGCTGGAGGCACGTGTGATACGGAGGTACAGGGCTTATATGAGAATTGTGTTACAGTGTGGTGAGGCGTCAGGCTTTTTCTCTGGGAACTGAAAACAAGAAATTGAAATCTTCCTTAATCTGAAAGCATTCAGTTCTTGAGGTCCGTAGGAAGTGGAGAGGGAGCTGCTGTGGAAAGTGTTGGGCTTTTGATTGAGAGGGCCAACTAGGGTAGTGGGGGGGGGGAAGAAAAATTAATTAGTAAAGCACTCTAAAAGGTACATCGTACACACACAAATATACAGGAATGAGCAGCATGGGATGTGCTGTGAGGCTGTTGTGTTGCTGGATTAGCCTAGGCTTGGCTGGGGAATAGGTTAAATCTTTCTGCATCACTGTTAACATCCAGGTTTCTTTTCAGTTAGGAAGGGTGCTGAGGCTGCATTGCAAATGTGCCCCAGTGAGAAGAACCAGCTTCCAAGGGATGCTTTGAATAAGACCTGCTGAGGTGTGGCATGTCGAAGCAGACTGATGCCCTCCATCCAGATGTGAGAATGCTTCAAAGACAGCAGTTGTAGTAACTACTTGCTGAAACTTCATCTTGTTCTGTCCCAAGGGGCAGAAGCCGAGGGTTTGGCCAGGTGTGAGCTGGGCTGTGCTATGGGGGGCTGCAGCTATTGGCAGGAGTCTTCTGGCTCTGTCCCAGTTGTTAGCCGTGCTTTGGTCTGCAGGTCTCTGTAAAAGAGACCACCTGTTTCCAGCTTTAGTGAAGATGGTGTGTTTTGTTGTTTTGCCTTGGGCAGCGGATTGCAACAAAGAGCAGAGGCTGGAGGAACAGACAGTGACCTCTGCTTGGGGGGAGCAGCGGAGCCAGGTGAGCAAT